CTTTCTCTTTGTCTCTCTGCCTTTCTCTGTCTCTCTTTCTCTCTATCTGGATGTGTATATATATATGTATGTATGTATATATATCTCTTCTTTCTTCTCTCTCCTCCTCACCTCTCTCCTCTCTCCATTCTCTTCTCTCCCCTATGTCCCCTATTCTCTCTCTCCTTTCTCCTGTCTTTTCTCTCATTTCCATTTTCCTCTCTCTCCTCCCTCACTTATCTCCTATCTCCTGTCTCTCCCTGCTCTTTCCTCTCTCCTCTCTCCTGTTTCCTCTCTCTCACTCACTCAAACTGCATCAGACAGGACGCTAATAGTCACAAATAACAATAAACTAAATAAGAAAAATGAAGAACTGGTACTAAAGCGCCAACATCTTTACAAGTTAATTAATCGAACTTAATAATAATGTTCATGATTCCGGAAAGAGTTTTTCCACACAATCCGACGCGACTATTCAAGGTGGCTGATTATTTGCCTCGCTCATCCAAATAAATATCAAATCTTCCGCATGGCCGTCAAGACATCTTTAACGAATGAAAAAGTGAAATTTAAATGACTCACCAGAAGATCTTTCCGTCGTAAGATGAGACAACAAACGTGTCACTCCGATGGAATCCAGCAATAGCGATTGGGCGGGCGAGAGCAGTGGCTAGGCTGTGATACAACATTTCCCCTCAGCCGACTCTTGATTACTGAATGCGCCGTCATTGGCCGAGATTGTCCGAGGCGTGGTTAGCTCGGAAACTGTGATGGCATTGTTTGGTTTTGTTAGCGGATACTACTCTCATACAGCAATCTTTTTTCTTTTTTTTTTCTTCGTTCGTTTTCGTTACTGTCCTCGGACTTGTCAATATACTTTTGCATAGTTATTTATCAGGATTTGTGGGAGGGACTGTGTGACGTCGTCAATATTAATGCCAAGAACCGCTACAAAGAGAATTGTTCTCGTGTATCTTTCAGTTATATCCAAAGCACTGAAAAAATTTCAAAAGCTCCGCCATTATTTCCTCCCAACAAACTTTTCATGGCATTAGGACACTTAAAAAAAATCACCACAAAAGCTAATGGAAGTTTTGTCTTCTGTTTTATATTTTTGTTGTCGTTACTGTGCGGCCACAATACAATTCATTTATTACAGTGTGACAGACGGAGGAGGCCATCCCACTTATTCTAATCCTGTTTCAAAAGCTTTAAATCCCAAGTTACAAGAATGTCCGATACCTTATGCTTCACTAATATCGGCATAGTTTTATTCTCTTCGAACTGCTCACTGGTGTCATTCTCTTCCTTTGTACAGGGTGGGGAGTCAGCTTTTGTATTGTAACTTTTTTTTTCTGTGGAGATGTAATTATGTACATGTGTGTCTATATATACACACACATATGTATTATGTATATGTGTGTGTGTGTGTGTGTGTGTGTGTGTGTGTGTGTGTGTGTGTGTGTGTGTGTGTGTGTGTGTGTATGTGTGTGTATGTGTGTGTGTGTGTGTGTGTGCGTGTGTGTGTGTGTGTGTGTGTGTGTGTGTGTGTGTGTCTGTGTGTGTGTATGTGTGTGTATGTGTGTGTATGTGTGTGTATGTGTGTGTATGTGTGTGTATGTGTGTGTATGTGTGTGTATGTGTGTGTATGTGTGTGTATGTGTGTGTATGTGTGTGTGTGTGTATGTGTGTGTGTGTGTGCGTGTGTGTGTGTGTGTTGTGTGTGTGTGTGTTGTGTGTGTGTGTGTATGTGTGTGTATGTGTGTGTATGTGTGTGTGTGTGTATGTGTGTGTATGTGTGTGTGTGTGTATGTGTGTGTATGTGTGTGTGTGTGTATGTGTGTGTATGTGTGTGTGTGTGTTGTGTGTGTGTGTGTGCGTGTGTGTGTGTGTGTTGTGTGTGTGTGTGTGTGTATGTGTGTGTATGTGTGTGTATGTGTGTGTATGTGTGTGTGTGTGTGTATGTGTGTGTATGTGTGTGTATGTGTGTGTATGTGTGTGTATGTGTGTGTATGTGTGTGTATGTGTGTGTGTGTGTATGTGTGTGTGTCTGTGTGTGTGTATATATGTATGTCTATATGTATATAAAAGTATATATATACATATATATATGTATATATATTTATATATATGTATAAATTATCTTTATTGTGTTGCCTGTCTTGTGACGTTAGCGACCATGAATATCCATTCCCTTCTGTTATCTGCTAATCTGACTAAACCAACCGATTTGTACATTCCACCCACTCTATTAGTTAATTTATCCATATACTTCATCCTTTGTCTTCATCTAGCTCCTTTTTCAGTTTATTCTTCCAAGAAAGCAATCTCTTTCGGCAACATGCGCCCCTAGTAACTTTATCTGTCTATAACATCCTTAGCATTTTTCATAAAAAACAACACATTTCATTTGCCATGTCTCACATCTGCAAAACAACTTTGACCACACAAAACACTTCAAAATCCTCGTTTCTGTCCCGTTTTCCTTTTTTTTTTTTTTTTTTTTTTTTTTTGCTTTTATTTCTATTAATTGTGTTTGTTCATGTATTTGATTTTGTTTTGTATTATTTTAAGGGCGTGTTTTAAGGCTACCTATTGTTTTGCGATTTCTCAGTTCGTGACGTGACACTGCATATTTGAATAATCACTGTTTTGAATATATATATATATTTCTAATTAATGACTTTGTCTTTTAGTAATGACTTATTTTACCACCTCATTTGGAGGATGAAGAGGGAAAGTTAGATGGAGGAGGAATATGTTTAGGGGAAGGTGTAGTGAGCGACATTACTGGAATAGGGAGTAAGAGAAAAACCTCGTTTGTGCTTCCTGTCTGGCTTCACGTAGACTGAGTCAGAATGTTTGTTTTTTTTCAAATTCACGGGGTTTCCTTTTACTGTTTTATGAATTTAGTTTATTCATAAACTTTTAGTTCACGTTTTTATGGCTTTTCATTAATGATTTCGGTATTTTTATATTGTTTGAATCACTTCAATGACATTATGTATTTTATTAGATTTTATTTAGGTTTTATTAAGAATAATTTAGTTTTTATTAAGAATAATGATTCAATATGTTGTGACGTCACGAGTTCCGGAGTTCCCGGGAACGCAACAAATAAACAGTGTCATCTGGAACTTCGTTTGCACCCCCCCCCCTCTCTCTGCGAATCTACACTAAAGGTTGTACTGGCTCTTGTTCACTTGCTTAGGTTTGGAAAATGCTGGACGTGTTAAGCATAATTGAAGGCAATTCATATAATATTTACATTGATGAAGCTCAAATCACTTAAAATTTAAACACAGTGATGCTCTTTTTAAATACTAGTTCTTTTTACGTTTTATGTTATCTTTCTTAGTTTTTTTAACGGTGTATATATGTATCAAGTGTTTGCCTTTTATTTACGGTTATTTTACTGAATATTTACTTTCTACTGATCCTTTTTACTTTACTTTTACCATACTTCTACTGTCCTTTTTTACTCTACTTTTACTCTTTTACTGATCTTTTTACTGATTCTTTTCCTCTACTTTTACCATACTTTTAATATTTTTACTGAGCTATCGGTATCGTATTTTTACTTTTCCGGTTCGTTATTTTACCCACCATACGCTTCTGTGCCTACCGCTCATGCTACCACTACTACTGCTATTGCTCGTGCTATGGCTACTATTGCATTTACTGCTACGGCTACTATTACTACAGTAATAGTATAAAGACAGCAGTGTTATATCTGATTCCAATACAAGTTACTTATCAGCCTGGTGTCTTTCTCATCTATTCCTCTGTCTTTCAAGATCTTAGCCGTTTCTTCATGTTTCACTATGCCAAATGCTTTCTCAAAATACATAAAACACATAAAAAAACATTTTTCTGCATTTCAACTGCATTTCTATTATCTTTCCATTAAAGCAAATATTGCATCGGTGGTACCTTTCCTTTTCTTTAATCCACACTGTTCCTCCGAGACCAAGTTGACTCATAATGTTAATGGTTATGTGTTTAGAGCATTCTAAGGGACCTATTCACCTTCAGTATTCCATCAGAAATAGACACATATCCAGCTAAACTTTTTTGTAACTTCAGGTAATAGAAAAAATCCTACTCTTTCATGTTTCTCTCCTCCTGAATATATAAACTCAAATCCATCTCTTTTACAACTTCCAATTCCTGTCCATTTTGTTTCACTAATATATCTCATTTTAATCTCTCTGCTTCTTTCACTAAATCATCAAACTTACCAGCTTGGAATAAGATGTTAACATTCCATGTAGCTAATTTCTGTGCAGCTGTGCGTACTGTAGCTTGATGACGGGCGGCTGGTGCCTGCCGCGCGGATCCAGACCGGCCGAACGAATGGTTAATGGTTAATGGTTAAAAGCAAAATAAATGTGCTAGACATCTAAGGTCATGTAGCACTACAGTAAATGGTAGTGAAGGGTGGGTGAGTTAGTGATTAGTTGTCAAAGCTGAGTAAAAGAATTGACGAGTGAATGGGTTAAGGTCGGGTACAGTAGTATAAAGGGGTTAGATCAAGGGAAGGATGTATAACATATATCCGTCTGAGGAAGGAAAAAAACGGTTGTCAAAGCAGAAAGCGGATGGGTAAGAAAGGAAAGGATATGACGAATGTGTGTGAGGACGGAAACCGCGAATGATAGTTATATCTATAGTTGATTTAAGAGATTCACGTGTGTATCCAGGAGGGAGTAGAAGGGATAGAGGGGATGGCGGGAGGGTCAATTTAGGTGGGGCTGGAGTCGGGGGATGGGCTGTGTTGGGAGGGGGTAGGCGGATAGGATGTAGGGGGGATATGAGTAGGGGGAGGATGGATATCGGGCGTCACTTTGAGTGTGGAGGGAGCGGGAGTTGTGGAATTTGAAGGTGGATGAGGGGTTTCAGTGACAGTTTGGAACTCAAATAGATAGTTTCGAATATCTTCAAGAGTTTCTGCAATGGAGTTGGTTGGGGAGTTTTGAGAGACAAAGGTTTTCTTGTGAGGGGGGAAGAGAAGACTGGTGTCTGAAGAGTAGGGGCAAAGGAAGGTGGAGGTGATTGTGTGGCAGGGGAAGAGGGGGTGGAACGTTTAGTCTGTCTGCTGCGGGTAGTGCGGGGAGGGAGAGGGGGAGGTGTTGGGGCTGTAGTAGAGACTGGAGTGTCTGGATTTAGGATGACAAATGAATTTGACTGGGGAAGCGGAATGACATCTTCATTGTTGGCCATGGTAAGCCTGGAGTATGTTGGGGAGAGAAACAGTCCACCCCTCAGGGTCCTCTTGAGGGGTAAGGGCAAGGCTACTAAGCAGGGGAAAACCGTGTCCATGGCTCCCTCAGGCCGTTCAGAACTGGCACAGCCTTTCATCCTTTCAGCACGGCTCTCACACCTTAGGAAGTGGATAGTAGAATGTAGCCGCAGTTATCAACATCGGCATGGCGTACCCGCTAGCATCAGTATCACGTGTATAACATCTGCAGCCACTGCCATCAGCATCGGCATGGCGTAGCTGCTGGCCTCAGCATCACGCGTATATCATCCCCTCTAGGACTTGGTTGCCGGTTTCCTCATGGGTTGCGATAAGGATAATGCCATGGCCGTGTTCCTCCATGTGTTTGTATGTGCTGAATTAGGCCTTGTCCCTAGTGTTGACGTAGAAATGAAGGAAGGGCGTCTCACGTTTATAGAACAGTTTCAGAGTGAATACTGGCTCGACAACACGTACATA